ACTGATATAAAAGTTGAAGCGAAACATGCTCTCTCCTCGTCTAAAAATCGAATGTCCTTCGAACAATTAACGATTAATTAAACATTAAACAATCACTTATTTTAAAAAATATTGTTTCTTCAAAGTCAAAATTACGCCCGTGCAATGAATTTCTATTTAGCTCATTTTTCGGTCTGCTACTGGGACACTGGAAATATAAACCTCATCATCGGTACCGATGCAAATGCCCACTGTCTGCTGTGGGGGAGCAAAGATACTAATGAAAGAGGACAAAAACACTAACTGAATATCTTTTAGCAACAAATCTAGAGATTCTCAATCGAGGCTGCGTACCAACTTTCGTAACATCGCGTAGTCAATCAGTAATAAATATTACACTGGCTACATGGGATATGGAATTCAGGGGTGATAATAATTGATATGAAATTAGATCCTTAGTACTAACGTAATGTAACAATATGTCACAATATACTTATAATGCAATGGGACGTCTATGGATTATGTATACGTTAAAATGTATAGACATAGAGATAAAGACGTACAGGAACCCTAGGTTGACGAACTGGGATTTATACAATGAAGAACTGGAAGACAGACTGAGGACCTCCGTATAGTAGATACCAATGGTATATAAATCGACAGAAGACACAGAGAAAAGTTTGACCATTATCAACGACTCTCTAATGTCAGGTTATGAGAAAAGTTGCTCCCTAGAGAAGGAAGGCCTGGGCAAAGGTACACCATGGTGGAACCGAAGGCTCAGCGTACTTCAATCGGGGCTAAGAAAACTTTTCAGTAGAGCAAAAAACGCTAAGAAATGTGAAGACTGGGAAGCCTATAAAGAGCATCGGAAAGAGTTTAAGAAAGAAGAAACGGAAAACGTGAAGATCTTTGCAGCGACCTAACGTCGACTGCTTCAGTCGCAAGGCTGAAGAGAGTTCTCTCGAAGGACTACGCACATCAACCAGGTTTCCTAAAAAAAGGTGGTACTTGTACAGCTACCTTAGAAGAATCCACATGTCCACAGAACTTTTACGACAGACTGTTTCCAGGCAGCATAAGGACTACCTCCCATTCCAAAAGGGATGTAGCCAGTATTCAACCTTCCCCGAAGGACTGGCGGCAAAGGTAGTCACGGAGGCAAGACTGGAGTGGGCAGTTGACAGCTTTTCCCCATGTAAATCTCCGGGAGTGGATTGTGTCTATCCCGCCCTCCTGCAGAGGCGAATGAGCAGACTACGCCTTATTGTTGCCAATGCTTCGGGCGTGTCTGGCTTTCAGCTACATACCGAATGCATGGCGAAAAGTTGTCGTGTCCATCCGTGTTATTATCGGTGACCAAGCATGGACACTAACAAAATTATTTATTTGGGTGTAGGCCCATTTCCTTGGAAATGGATAGCTAAATTGCAATCAGGGAGAGGTAATAAGTAAAATGTAGTCTTCATTTAACAAGTATATTAAATATAAATTCAAACAGAATTAATGGTTAAAATTGTAAGTCCCAGACAAAAGGTTAAATATAAATACATTCTTAAGGCTATGCAACCAAAAATCGTTATTTGACGCGTCCGCTAAAAAATTCCTACCTACTTGATAAAACAAAACTAAAAAAGTTACTATTCACTTCAATTATTTAGATACATGGCAATCAACAGTTACTATAAAAGGCCAAATATCAATGTCTCCTTAAAGTTAAATTAAACGAAAACGTTATTTGAAATATCCTTTAAATATTGTTTCCCTATCCCTGATTAATAAGATATTAGCATAAAACTTAAATTAATTGGTAGTAACAAATTAAAAAGAATAAAATAAACTGTTCAAAAATCATGGAAGGAAGTTTCCGGACCTTAGAGCAAAAATAACAAATGAAAATACTACATATTTCTAAACTGCGCGATTATTCATTAACTACGGGAAGTCTTAAAGTTTTTATTAAGGTACACGGGCTATCCGGAAATCCCCCCAAGATTCGTCAAAATTCCGATATTCACATTAAAACAGGGACCGCTGAGTGCAGTGACCGCTTTCGATATCTTCATCATTTTGTTAATGGCGTTTGCATTTAAGCGACAGACTCGTAACCCATCTCTCAGATAATTCCTCAGTTCTTAATTGATAAACGTTCGCCCTTTCGATGACAGTAATGGACCATTCCCCAATTTAATAAGTTAAATTTTCCGTATAATGACGGCGGTTCAGGTTAATCACACATCAGGCGATTATCGAAGAAGGCACAGAAGCAAGATAACACATGCATGAGGGTTTAAATTTAGAATCTTTCACTTACAAAAAACCATGGAACTTTTCTAAGTCTTCCTTCGCAATTTCGGGCAAAAGAACTATCAGCTGGACAAGGCTTCAGCACGGCTCTACTTGGGTATCGATCGTCGTGGGTACTTTTCGTCTTCGTGGCACGCTGGATTCGACTTCCTCGACTTCCAGATTTTGCGACCTTTTATACGGCGTTTTTCTCATTAATTATGTCTTTGGTGGCATCTTTATGAGTGCACGTGGTATTCATATTTGGGTTAGTTGATAAGAATGCAATCCTTTTGGGCTTTATTTAGAGGTTTTATAAGTCTTAGTTTCGTTGTTTCGAGAATTTCGTCAGACTGATAAGTCGCAAAATAGATTGATGGTAATGCGTGAGATTTGGTAGTTAATTTGGTGTGATTTATTTGGTGTTGGCTCCTCTGTGTTTTTAATTGAATGTCGTTAGTATCACGTGCTGTCACCATTCTTGGAACTTTTGCTTGGGTGTGGTATTTGGCTAGGGTTGACTGAGTGAGTGCTTCTCTATTTAGTTTATTATCTAGTGGTTGGGTAATACATACGCGATTGGACATGCGCAAATTGCTTGCTTTTTTGCGAATATGCGAATTTAGTTTTTGAGTTAGAGAATTATGTTCTGAAGTTTCTTATTGCGGTATTTTGCGGTTTCTCCTCAAGGGTGGACCGTCACAAAGTAAAGATTATCTTTACACCTAAGCCAGGATGACAAGAATACACCTTGGCTAAAACCTATAGACCAATTAGCTTAACATCATTCTTGCTGAGAACGTTAGAAAGACTAAGAGAAAAAGAGATTCGGGAGACCGCCTAAACAAGCAACCTCTATATCCGAACGAACATGCCTATATCCCAGGAAGATCCACGGATACGGCGTTATACACAGTTGTAAACCGTATATGGTGGGTGCTGGAGAACAAACTCTCCACCTTAGGAATGTTCTTGGGTATTGAAGGAGAGTTCGATAAAACGACCTACAAAAGTATAGGACTAGCCCTACAAGAGGATAACGTGAACTCCACCCTGAGTAGGTGGGTCACTGGTATGCTGAAGAATAGGGAAGTACTTAATGTAGGTGGCACTGAGAACAAGGCTATTGTTGACAGGGGATGTCCCCAGGGAGGAGTACTTTCTCATGTACTGTGGGATACTGTCGGCCTAATACGACACCTCAATGATCTCAAGAAGTTGGGTGGCTTGACGAGTAGAAGAGCAGGAAGATACCCTGGATGAGTCCTAAATGCCGGCTGGCTACGGTTAGCTTCCATATTTATAATCCAGACCGCCTGTTTAAGCCTTTGATGGTAAGATGCGATCGATGAGAATGGGAAAAACCTGCTCCGTTCACTACATCTTCAGTTCTTTCTTTATTATTGGGTCGACCGGCCAATGAAAATCTCTGCGTCATATCACTCTAAAGAAACTGATTATCCGGTATAATTAAAATTATTTCTCGCAGTGTCCGCTAACGCGAAGCTGTGGACACCTCTTTCATGAACTGAAATGACCTGATGCTTAAGGCTGGCGTCTGGTTCGGTTTAGCCCTATACTAAATACATTGAAAACATCGTCGCGGTTTCCGGAGTTGCATTTTAAAAATATGAGATATATCGCTTTAAAAAAATTATATTTCGAATTAACAAACTTCAGTCCAGGGGACCTCCATATTTATATTCATATCTAGTATGCAGTTTTTACAAAAAAAAATTATAAAGTTGAACAACTTTTACATCACATTTTAACCGGCACATTGATGCATTTTTTGACGAAGTGCTGAAGTTTTTCGCATTCTGAGATAGGAGGTCCCCTGGGGAAAAGTGTCAGCTTTCTTTTGATACCATTTATAATATTAAAAAATCCACGACTGAGGTAAATAACTCGCGAAAAGTCAAAATCTATTGAAACGAGAAATCGGCATTAAACGAGCTGTGATGCGGTAGAAGAATGCAGGTTTACTTAGATTCTGACTTGGTTGGAGATTTCAGTATTTTAAAAATGCAATTCCGGAAACTACGACGATGTTTTCAATGTATTTAGTATTGGGCGAAACCGAACCAGACGCCACCCTTAAGCTGGCCCCCAAACACTGCTTCATTCATTAGGGGTCCAGAGGATGTTCAGGTATGGATGACATTTTGATCGATCAGACGTAGTACTCGCGGCATTGGTCAATCAAGCAACCATTGCAATCATCGTCACACCTCAGCGAAATATAGCAGAAACCGCAATTACAGTACACATTCTGACTAGAATTAAAAGTCATTCATTTAAATTATGGCCGAATAGTAGTACTACCTACTCCCTGGTGAGAATAAAATTACTCACCTGGTAATATCTTGTGTCGAAAAAAAAAGAAGTTACATATAATTCGGGTTTCTTTTGTTATTCCTACTGGTATCATTATGTTGAGTTATCTTCACTGTTATGCGTTACTTGACATATTTGTATGAGTATGGATTCGTTCGACTGATCGTCGATACGTATATGTATACCTTGTAAGCAAACACACATGGAAGCAAATTTATCCATGTATTCTCGCATATATATAATAAAGAATTTTTAAAAATTCAAAAACGTTTTTCTATTCCAAATCACAACTATTCCAATTTTATTAACTATTATTTAATGCTCACTTATGTTAACTATAAACGAGTTACGAATTAATAAAACCAGTGTGTTTCTTGGAATAATAAAATCACTCCAAATATTAAGTATTTTTTATTAACCAAAATTTACAATAATTATGAATTATGGTATTGAAATGACTCCAATACGAGTAATGGGTATCTACAAACTTAATGTTGTGAATATGATTATTATGCCTAAAGCTGGAATCACACAACAAAACAGATGTAATAATACAACATTTGATATTAAATTTTTGATTGTAACATCATCGGTGGACTGTGAACATATCGTTGTGCGATCCCAGACTCAATTATTCGATAATTTCACTATAGAAACACACAAGTAAAAAACCCAACGGTACAAACGGTTTCCTAAAAAGTCTTATCACCAACGCAGTCATTGAAATTCTGTATAGATACAAGGTACCGCAAGGTGTGTATGTAATAAAAAAGTCGACAAAAATAAAATAAATCGGCGAAGTTCAACTTTGGGAAAAAATAAATTCACAACAATTCCAAGCAAAATATACAAAGAAAAAAAAGCAAAATCGTAAATAAAACATAATAAAACAATTTATTAGTTAGCAGTCCTGAGGTACGACATACCACAAAAAATCAACAACCTATAATGTGACAATTTCTTTTAAAACACTTGTAACCGGATACAGAGTCAGCACTCGCACAGTTAAGACACCGGTTAATTCCCTGCAATTTAGAAGTTGTTGCTTTAATGGTCATCAGTTGCTGTTGCAGTTGTCTTGATCTTGAGACACATGATTACTTTCGCTTGGAGTTGTTGTCGTTGAAGCTGGCCTGAAAGCGGCTGCAAAGGGGAATCTTTTATGGCATTTCTTTATATATTCTTCTAATTGAGCTTCGCAACTGCCGAAGTCGCCTTTTCTTAACGCTTCCATTACATCTACACAATTCTGTGGACAAAACACACAAGAAATGTCAAACAAAGTTTACAATAACGCATTGCTGAAATTGCTCCTAAAAGGCCAGGATCGAATTCTCCTAGCGGGCAAAATTATTTCTCATAGTGAAGTTATCTATGTTGCGGTTGAATTCCCCATAACGTAAACATGGATATAATAACACTCTATTAGCTACACGAGCAAAATCAATCAACAATAAAAATTGTTCGTAACGTATTATCTGTTATGATGGTCTCTTACCAGACTAATTTAGAGGTTGAACAAATATGGCATTTGCCTGAAACTGATTTCTTGTTTGTGGTTTTTCGAAATTCTATTAACTTTATCTATCAGCTTTTGGACTTTGAACTAGAAGAACTCGACTCTTCCGAAACTACAAACATTTGACTGCTTGGGGGATTTAAACGCGACTTCGGAAAATACCCTTCATTTGCAGAGTTATATCGATTTTATTATAAAAATTATAAGCACGTGGAAGTACCAACAACAGATAGCGTGTGGATACCGTATTGTAAGTATGTTAAGCGAGCTCCTAGGCGTTATTTTGTCTTAATGACAAGCAATAACGAAACTGAGTTTTTTAAAATGATATTAACGCTACTAATCCAGCGAATATTACTGACTCCCGCCATAAAAAATAAATAAATACTTTTGACAACAAAACATAGTAATCCTAATCGTCACTGCGTCTAACGCGTATTCGCCTAAAGAAAAATTGCAAAATTAAATTTAAAACACGGTCGCGAGGTCATCAATTCTAATGAAATGAACAAATTATTTTAGTTATATGTTACATCATTGGACTCAGCATAAGCTAAAGAACTTGATGCAATTTTATAACATCCTCTAAAAACCTTAGTACAATATGTGGAGAACTTTATGTTAAGACTTGTAGGTTTTTAAAAATCGGCGCACCGTTTCGGAATAATTTATATTGTTCCAATGTACTTACTTGTAAGTTTATATCTCCGTATTTATTGTCGTCAAGGTTGGTAACGAGATTGAGAGCAGTGCTTTGGGTTTTGTTATCAAGATAGTACATCATTCTAGAGCATTCCAGTGCGGCTTCTAAACTATGGGGGTTACTTTCTAGGTATTCTTTGTTGAGCTGTTTGGCGTCTTTTCCATTAAATAAGAGTTCCGTTTCTTTCGTCACTACTTCTTTGACAGCTGGATCCCAAGAACCTTTGTTTTGGTTAATTACTTCGTAGAATCTTATCAGGCAACAATGTAGCTTTGGATTGTGTGGTACCACCTTGTGAGCCCTTTTCAAGGACTGGAGCATCAAAAGAACTTTTTCTAAAAGAAGAGGAAAAGCACATCATGGAGACCCGCAAACAAATCACTCACTTTTCCTATAATAAACTTCAAAAGCCATTAGATGAGTTTCTATCCGGTTTTTCGCTAGAGTTTGGAGGGGTTGGAGGAACTTTATCGCTTGTTCGAGAGGGTCTTCCACCTACGACAATAGTTAAGCACATATTTTAAATTAAAAGGGCAAAATGGTAATTATGCTCTTCACTAAAGTCTCACGTCATAAAGTTTGAAAATCTGTTCACTGCTACAGAACTGCAGTTTTGCGGATGAATGTTTGGGCATCTATTGCAATTCATCAAAATGCTTTATCCACTTCGTGAAAGGCATAGATTACCAATCCAAACGCTTTCATATACACACCCTTGCAAGCTTGTCTGGTATTAATTCATCTAACTGAGGAGCGTCCGCTTCGACATCGCCTTGCTGTCGTGACTTATGGTGGTGATCTCTTTTAACTTGTGCTTCTCTCGCTTGAGCACTCTCCTGTTCTGCCTTCCTTCGCGCTTTCCTCTGTTTATTCCTCAATTTTTTCAATTCCGAAGGCGCTAGGTTCTCTGCAACAACAAAGAATGATTGTTAACAACCTTGGTAGCGTTCGATCACGACAATTTTGCGAAATTCGCAAAAGTTAAATGGCTTTTCGTAATAATGATCGTTTCGGAGCAAAATCACTTCCCTCTTTCACGTTAGAAAGAATTGTTATTTCGAAGGCTGGTCAAGATAACAATTAATCAAATGTGCTCTTTTTTGTCACCTACGGCGTTTCAATGCACCGGTAGTATTATAAGAAAATAATTTGTTAACATTGTTTTTGGCATCACGCTATTACAATAACATGAATTATAAGCGGGTTAAGGTGTACCGCTGTCTGAGTAAAAGGGAAAGGGTTCAGCAGCCGCATTTCATGAAATTGCATCACACTAATTTCTTATTGTATCGATATGAATTACGCTATGTTTACAATCACATTGTGAATTTACCAATGGAAAAATGGTCAAAATTGCATGCGCTACAGGCGATTGGGTGGATGAATGTAAACATTAAAATATGCAAACTAACCGAAAGTAGTCGCAGAACTATATAATTACTATTCAAACGTTAAAGAAGTATTCTTGCTGCACGCACAGTGTCTGAATTTACGACGGCGAAGATATTTATGACCGCTACTAATCTTCCTCAATGTATTAATGAAACATGAATACATTGGGCACCTACGGCATTAAGTCCATACAAAACCAATCATTATGTCATAAGTTAATTCTGTAGGTGGGTTATCATTTAATGCTTCCCTTTGATTTTTATAATTTACATAATGTAGCCTGGGGTGTCTTCCGCTTTCTTCTAAAATGATTTAAATTATTATAATGTTTCAACTGTTATTATATTATAAAGACTATTTTTTCTTTCAAGAGAAAGGTTATCTAATAAAAAGCACTATATATTATTGTTTATCTGTTAGTTAGTCGATTATTGCAACCAACCTTTGCTAAAGATGTAGTTATTAGTTTAATAGATAAATAATAGTGGAGCATTGAAAGTCTCCAATCTCTATATACAGTGCTGAGATATATAGCACGACAACATATTCAATTTATTTATTAGAACAATACAAACAATTTTCTTTAAAAAAAGCATAAACAAATAATTTTGTGACCCAAAAAAAAAAAATTAAACTTCGATATTGTAAAAAATTGGATAAAAATTAAATTACATTGTGCATATATATTTAGATTTCCAAGACACAAGGAATACATCCTCGATTTTTCTATTTTCTGTACAGTTCCCAATGTTTCTGTGGAAGTCATAGTGTTTTTGTTGTTTTTTTTTCACATTGTAAAAAGATAAAAATGTTAAACGTATTTTGATTTAAATTTTTGGGTGTAATAAAAAACAAAAAATACTTTAGTTTTCTTTAACTAACCAAACATTATTAAAGATACCAAACTAAAGGAAAACGGTATAAGGTAATTTTTGTAAATTCAGACTTTCAAAAACGTATCACCCAAGACACTCTTCGTACGAATTCAGAACTTTACGTTTATCATTTTAAAATCTAATACACCGAGAAATTGATTATGCATATTCCTTACGGGTCATGTCATGTAATACCTCGATACCAAATATGAAATTTGTGGGTGGAAAGTAATTGAGACGTTGAAAAAATTTGAAACTGGGAAATTTCAATATTTGCTGGATAAATATGAAATCATTTCATTATTTAAACAAATATGTTGAAGATTATTAATCGTTATAACACGGAGCATCTTCTTAAATGATTATATTGAGAACCCATAATTTAAATATCGAGATATCTCTGAAAGTTATTTTTGTATCCACTAAAATTTTATTGTTTTGTGAAATTATATATTGTCATCAATCGTTTCGCTCCTCAGGCGTATATACAATTGTTTGTAGTCGCAGACTCCTACGCAGTCTTTCAACTGATTATCTTTTAACACAATAGTGTTATACATCATTTTGTTAGAAAAATAATCTCCCAAATTACTAAATCGATTATCTGAAATTTTAAATGCATTTTAGGATTATATTACATTATAGTAAAATGCTAATCAATATTTACATCCTCTTCAAAAAGTTGAGGACGTCAACTCAAAATTTTGTTCGTTAAAACTTGCTGGAAATTTACGGCATGAGATATCTTTTTACTTGCAGATTTATTAATCTACGATACTTCTATTTCAACTCTTACTGTAATATACAAATAATAATAATGATAATAATAACATTTTTAGTATGAAACTCTTAGAATATAAAAGAACAAACTTTCTGATTTTATTACCACTCATAAAATATACCGAATAATTACAAAAGATCCACTAAAATTTGTTTTTTGATGCCCTCCAGAAGAACTGATAACGTCATTTCAAAAAATCATTAAATAAACTATCGTTAAAAAATATGCCCTGAAATGGAGCTTGCTCTGCTGTGATTATACATATTTATTTTTTTAAATTGATTTCACAGATGTTTCAACCAAAATTATTCAGTCACACTGCCATACTGCAATTTATTTATAATGCGTTATATTTAAGTTTTATTTATTTTTCTATTATAAATACATATATTTAACAAAATTGAAATAAAATTTTCGCAAAAAAGCTCCAACATACGACAATATTCTTAGGTTTATATTTAGGATGCGACGGCTGAAATATTATTCAAATATCAACTTTCTTAGAGCAAAAAATTTCGGAGAATAAAAATCAGCATGTTGTATAACACTGGGACATTTTTTTAACTCTGAACATATGTAAGTAAGTATGGGCTTAATCCCTATAGTATATTTGCTAAAATTAGAAGAACACCAACACTGCATTCTACATTGAAAATACAATTGACAACACCGTAGTGTTAAATCTGAAGTTTGGCTTAGGAGGAAATAAAGATAGGTTGTAAGTTTATAACTAATTTATACTCAACTGCAGATTGTGGACGGATTTTGACGTTTCAAAAAGTTTTAAAGAGAAATAGTAAACTTAAATTCTACAAACGTTAAAATAAACGACTCAATTTGTTTGTGCTTGTGTGTTTCGTGATGGCAAGTTTAACGTTTTTTTTTTTTTTGACTGAAACTGAAATCAACAAGTGTTTTTTTAATTTTGGCAAAAACTACATAATTTACAATTTATTTCTAAATTATTGTTAGGTTGTTTTTGATATAATCTTATATGTTTGAAGAAAAAATAACATATTATTTTTAGAGTGTAAGTGTTTCGCATAGACTTGACTGACGAAGGTAGTGAGTCCATGGTCAGCACATAACGCCTTGCTTAATAATACATTATAATCTACTATTACGACAATAATTCAAACAACTTGACATTTATTAGTATTTTTTTCTAAATCACATAGGTTGATGCAACATTGGTTGGATACTTCCAATGCATTAAAGTGCTTTTAAAACTGAACTTAGGGATTAAGCCTATACTTCTATTCATATGTTCAGAGTTAAGTAGGATTTATAAACTTGCTGTTGACGTTGAAGTTCCCGTTGCAGTTGCTGTTCCCGCTGATGTTGCTTTTAGAGCTGAAAATCATTTATAAACCCCGTTGCCAAGTTGCCGTAACTTTGATGTTCAACTTTTGCCGTATTTAAAGGGGTTGTAGAAGAAAAGTGGAGGATTTAAGTTGATTACTACAAAAATTTACAATTTTAGACTTTTTTTAAGTTTCTTATTGTCGAAATAAGTCTACACATATTAAGAAAAAAAGGCAAAATATAGCCCCGCCCACCCGCCCTACCTCAATTGTGATGATTTTTTTTTATTCGTCGTGAGCTTAACTGCAAAATCCTGTGCATATTAAGAAAAAATTAAAGCCAAAGATTAAGCCCCATGCATACCTGCCCAGATCTAAATATGTAGTAATGAAGGTTTCATTCGTTGGCAGACCTAGGGGCGGAGCCTAATTGCAAAATCCATACTTTCTTACAAAAATTTACCATTTTAAACATGTTTTAAGGTTCAAAGAACAAAAACATGATCACAATTGAGATGGGGCGGGTGGGCGGGGCTTTTATATTTTGTCTTTTTTCTTAAAATACATAGTAGTTTTATATGTAACCGACCTTTAAAAAGATTTTTCGGTATAGTATAATTCTCATATTTAGGGGAAAGAATCGATAAAAAATTTCTGGAAAAACCAGTGGGTGTATTGGTTGACTTTTTAGACATGTTAGAAAAAAAATTGGAATTTTAACGCTACTGGTATTTATTTCTTGTAACAGCTCTTTAAAGACTACTCAAATTTTGAAAATGTAATGGCAGAATTTATGTTGAAAACTCTGGAGTTAAATTAGGTAGTTATGTCTGATCAGAAATTAGTGTGAAAATGACATAAAAACGTGTTATTTCCGATTGATCTGGGATCGGGCACACCAAGTTTTTTCCCTTAGTACTTAATAGATAGATAATTATAGATAAATAATAATAATAGACCTGGATCTTCACAACATAAGTAAACATTTAAATTCCTCTAATGGTGGCATCATGCGTTAATTACACATACAGGCACAAAAAATTCTTTCTTGTGCCTGCTAACAGTTATAACGTACATGATCCCACGATCGCCTCTTTACCCAACAGTTTTAGTTGCTTTTTGAAATTTCATATTACATATTTTAAGACGTATATTTTTGTTTGTCACTGTGCAGTGTTGAATCGGCCATCAGGTGCAGTGATTACGTGAAGAATAGCCCTCGCTAAGGCCCAATTGAATCTATCGTTGGCTCCCAGGTACATGCAAAACAAACCCCACCCTTGTGCTTTGTCATTGATTAGAAACAACGCTGGATTTGTTTTTTACGTGTTCATTAACAAAAATTACTAGTTATTAAGAAAAAACTTCGATAAGAATCGACACATTTTAGAAAACCACACTTCCATTCGTTAATGGAATGGATGTTGCAGACCAACTTGTGTCACCGAACTTATTTCTTTTACTCTTATTTTTCTTGTTTTTGTCGCTACACATTTTAAATTACTTTAATGTTGACATATTCAAAACATGTTACTACAGAGAATTAATTAAATTC